TAATTATCTTACACAATATTAGTAATACAAGATTTAAATGCACCTATATCTACTCTTAAAATGAGCAGACGGGTGTCTGGTACTTTTTTGAAATTCGTACTTTTAAGGGGTAAAAATGTGTAACAAGGGAGATTTTGGTACCTTTTTTGAGCCTTTATAACCTTTTTTGGTATTTTTTTTAGCACATTAAGAAAACTGTTTTCGACTTATTGACGTTTACCCATTAAATTATGTACTAATTCTGTGATATTTATTGAAACAAAATATTTGCTAATTCACTGGTGAAAAAAGTACCAAAAAGGGAAAAATTTTATTTATTCATTTTGAGCCAATTTTTATAAAATTTGAAAAAATAGTTAATTTACTCACACATAATAAGCTATTGGTATATTATTTTGAAATTCGGGTACTAAGGTCTATATAGGACCAACGTCGGGTAAATTGTTTGGTACTTTTTGAAACCACAATTTTTTCTGGAACAAATGAATGCAGATTTGAATCGTTTGAATTTGATCTGTGATATATAGATTTAAACACGGAATATTTCTTAAACTTAATTTTCTAAAAAGTCTATTCCTAGGCGAAAGGGAGGAAAATGGTAATCTTTTTATTAGTACTTTCCACAAAGGTAGAAATTATTCCTCTTTTGGTAATTTTTCTTTCTTCAATTGATACTCTTTGTATGTTCTATAATATGAATCCAAAACACGTGATTATTAAATATAGACGGCCCTTATTGAATAAAATTCTTTAGAGTTGAACTTTTTAGTACTTTTTATCTCTCTAATGGTCCTTATTGAATAAGATTCTTTAGAATTGAACTTTTTAGTACTTTTTATCACTCTAATGGTACTTTTTGAATTTTCCAATATATTCAACCTAGAAACATAAATTAGAACATACATGGTCCTGACTGAATAATAATCTGTAAATGGAGCCTTTTTGGTACTTTTCCATTCCTCAAATAGTACCTTATGGATTCTTTATAATGGGGAACCGGAAAACTTGACACACGGTCTTTTTTAAATGTGAAATATAAAATTTAATATGTAGGGACTAAGTGAATGAGAATCTAATGAAAGGGACTTTTAGTATATTTTCGTTCATCATATTAAAGTTTTTGAATTTTCTATCATTTTGAACACAGAAACATTTGATTAAATGAAAATTTCTAAAAGGTATTTTATGGTACGTTTTACTTTTTCAAATAGCACTTTCGAAATTTTCTAAAATGATAAATCTAAACGAAAGAAATGAAAAATACACACTCCTTACTGAATGCGAATTTATTCACGTGATAAATTTCAATAATATTGAACGTAAAAAACATAAAATTTTCCAAAAAGAAATCAAAATTTTGTATGAATTTTATTTTGTTAGGGTAACGAAGCATCCTGGGTATGCTAGTAAATTCCATAAAGTCAGTGATTGTGCTCTTGTTGCTCAGACGTATGTATGTATATGTCTGTTATTTATTTGTCCATTACAATACAATTACAAATTATATTCTAACCTAATTTACCGAGCAGGGTGACGATGACAATACAACCGAGTCTCTGGTGGGAAACGAACCCATAACCCCCAAACTGACAGGCTAAAACACTACCAAATAAACTAAAGAAACAATCTATAAAAGCCTCTTTTAGCCAATAAAATAATATAGCGGAGGACACTGTAGTACTATTTTTTTACTCACCACTATTATGAAATCAGCAATTTACTTTAAAGTTGCGTTTTATAAACAGATTTCAATACTTCACAACTACAAGTTTATACAAAGTATAAAATCAATATAAATATAAAACTAATGTGGGAAGGATAACGTCCAACAGATTTGACAACTGGTTTAATATTAATAGGGATACTTAAAATAATTTGACATATATAAAATAAATAAAATATATATTTGCGCATTACAAAGAAATATCCATTAAGGATGTAAGGAATACATCCTTAACTTTGCCGTAAATATACGAAATATTATGATTGAGAAAAGTTAACTTTTTCTTAAAATCACTGACTAATGTAACATATGCCCCTATGGTAAAGATAAAAATTATATTATCAAACAAGGTAGAATACAATTTACGGTTGTAACGAATTTTGAATACCCTATATTAAGGATAATACATCGTTGATGACTTAATTATGGATTGTCTGTAAAACAAACGTTAACATTTCCTTTTGGGGTTAAAACTTCAGTGCCTAGTAAAGCTAGAAAAAACAGTTCTATTCTGGAATAATCTGTAAAGTAAAATTTACAATTATTTTTATAAAATTGAAGTTATTTTTGCTCTGAAACAGAGTTCTTCTAAAATATTCATGGCTTAGATCAACATACATATAACAAAGTATTAGATGAATAGTTCAGTTCTAAATGTTACAAATCAAATAATAAGTTTATTACATATAAGTAAAGTACAATATAAAAATGATTGATTATTACAAAAAAATAAAACTTTAAACTCAAATACAAAAAAAAAAAAAAAACACAACTAAAATAACTTTTCTTAAGTTAAAATTAACTTGAATACGATTTCAATAAGTTTGAAACAATAGTGTGCATCATATTGACTGCTTAAGGGTCATATGCACTAGTCGAAGTTAATCAATTGAAGATGACGGTAATGAACATCATCATCGTCATTGCATAGTATGGTCATAATGATGCAAATGTCAGATGCTGATGTCAGTTGAAGTTAAACAAAACTACAAAAAGAAAAATTTTAACTAAAGAAAAAATGAGAAAAAAACTATAAGCAGTTTTTGGTAACAAAACTTTCAAAAAAAGCAGAAAAAAGTTTTTAATTAAATTGTCGAATTTTTCTACGGAAATCATTTTTAGTACAAGTACAAGCAAAAGTAATTTTTTTTTTTTTTTGGTTGTATGTGAAAATAACATACATACATAGAAAAATATTTCATTTATATATGTATGTATATGAAGAAAAAAGTATGTGCATAATTTTATTTCTTTTTTTATTCTTCATACTTTTGCCAAGTGTTTGGAGGTGGCTGCATACAACAATTTTTTGATTGAACTTTTTCAAACTATTAAATGAAAAATACTTATGAAAAACACTTATACGCATAGTGTAATTTTTCTTCGTTTTTATTAAGAGATGTCAGAAAACTTTGGCCATAAATTGCCACAATTTGACAGAAAAGTTCACAACTACTATTTACAACAACTACTTGAATATATATTTTTTTATTTGGGTGAGAAAATGTCCAAAAGTAAGTTGCATATTTTTGTTTTTATTATTTTTTTATGTCTGTTATACCCAGTTGGCTTCGCTACATAAAATGAAGATAAAAGGACCTTATGACTTTTGATATAATTAATTGATGAAAACTGATTGTATGCAAGAAGCTTTATTTTAATAATAAATACTAGAATCCAAACGTTTAGATTCCTAAATTAAATAAAAAGTGAAAATCTGAATCGATGTTTATATAAGAAACATAAAATCGGCAGAAGATTGAGACAATAGTGAAAATCTGTAATCACTCGTGTTTCTAACTAAAAATGTTTTTTTTTAAGAGTAAACAAACTACAGCAATTTTGAAGATAATTCGATGAAATTTGGTACATGCATTACCTTTGACCCCAGGACGATTGTTGTAAATTTGGATAATTTCGGTCCATTCGCCGCCATACAATCGGATCCCCTAAATTGGAATTTGAAGCTCATAATTATGCCAAATATACTAATATCCCTATAAAAATTGGCACAACTACGTTTTATACAAGCATTAATAATACTGCAAAAATTCGTAATGAGAGGACCCTATCGACGATATTTTCAATATAACCCTTTCAGTCTCTTTATTGTCAATAAAATAAGGCCTATTTCGAAAATGATCCTGTAGATTTTAAAGATTATATAAGTTTCAAGTTCAATCGAATAGTATTAACTTCTGTAAGTGCCACGCCCACTGATTCAACAACGCTTAGCTTAATGTTGAACGCTTAGCTTAATGAAGAAAAAAGTTGCCTATTGTTGAACATATTGAAAAATCTTCAATGGTTTGGAATCCTTAAATATACTTAATATCAAAGAAATAAACAAACAAACGTTCATTTTCACATAGAACTATATATGAGTATATAAATTTAATTTTCTTTAAAGTCGTTATTGAAAATAAGAGAGAGATGGATGTAGCAGCATAAAGTGGCAGTATAATGAAATGGAAAAGAATATGTAATGTAATTTGAAGAAGTCATTTATTAGTAAAAAGGCCAGCTCTAAATAATATTTTTTTTTAATTTTATTCATAAAGCAAGTAGTTTATCCATTCCTTTTGATGCCCTACGTAATATATTGGACAAAATATTATATGAATAATTGTTTTTGATATTTAGAATATGTACGATGAAGAGCTTTTTCTTCACCGGCAACGATATAGAGCAATTCGGTCTACTTTGAATTGTTGTCTATAGGTTGCTGAAATGTTCGATGGGCAGTGATTAATTAACAAACACAAAAGAACTACCGTGGTACCGAGACAAGAATAAAAGATGATGTTGTTCGATTGAATTCAACTATGACAATGATTTATTTATTTAAAAATTCTTTTCTTAAGCCTAACAATTGATCATGTAAATAAGGGCTACACTGTTGTTATTGTAATATTATTTGTTTCTCACTTCCAATGTACCAACTCAACTTGTTTATTTATATTCAAAATATGCAAAAACAAAATACATGCAATAAGTCTCCAAAATAAGAAATTGCATTTTTAAGAGCAACAACAATATGCTTATAATAAGAATTGGAGTGAGAAACAAATAATAAAAACTAACGGGTCATTACCAAAAATATGTACAGTGGTTAGTATGAACAAAAAATAATGACAAATTACAGTGGCAACAGTGAGCCAAAAATATGAATAAATTTAAATACAATAAAAAATGGAAAATTTAAACAAAACAAAATAATAATGTTAGTAATTATTATACGGTGACCTAACATTCCGGCCCCATTGAAAGGACACTTTCAAGAAGATAGAAGAGCCAGTCTGTGGATAGGGCGACGTATAACTCCTTTTGTAGTTTTGATGTCGACAACTCGAACACGATCATCTCTTCCACGAACAATGTTGATGATTTTACCCATGAGCCAACGCTGCGGGGGTAAATTATCTTCTTTGATGATGACTAGGGAACCAGGGGTAATATTAGAGTTGGTGCTAGTCCATTTGTTGCGAGTCTGGAGCTCATTTATATAATCATGGGACCACTTTTTCCAGAATTGTTGCTTGATGGCGCTTATTCGGGCCCAATATTCAAGTTTGTTAATCTCATTTGTAGGGACATCACGTTCTGGCAAACTACGGAGGGGAGCGCCTATCAAGAAGTGTCCTGGTGTAAGAGCTTCAAAATCACTGGGATCTGAGGATAGAGGCGAAATGGGCCTCGAGTTTAAAACTGCCTCTATCTCAATCATAGCCGTTGCGAGTTCTTCGTAGGTGAGCCTTGTGTTGTCCAGGGTTCTGGTTAAGTGACCTTTGGCCGATTTGACGGCCGCCTCCCACAATCCGCCAAAATGTGGTGCCCTAGGGGGAATAAATCGAAAATTAATAAATTGATTCGAGCAATAATTTGTAATAAAATTTGAATTTTTTGGCTCAAAAAGGAACGACTTTAATTGAGCCAACTTAGAGTTTGCACCAACGAAATTTGTTGCATTATCACAGAATATATCTGTGGGCAGACCTCTACGACCAATCATCCGTTTTAGGGCAGCAATGAAGGCATCTGTTGACAGGTCGGATACCACTTCAATATGGACAGCTTTGGTAGCGAGACAAACAAATATAGCGATGTATGTCTTGTAGGGGACCTTTCCTCTAATTCTTAGGTAGGTGTTGACTGGACCACAAAAATCGACAGCACACCTTGCGAAGGGCCTTGACGGGTTGAGTCATTCCACAGGCAAATTTCCCATCATTTGTTGCAACAACTTTGGGCGATAGCGAATGCATTGAGGGCACGAATTTACAATGCTGCGACACAAATTCCTGGAGTTGATGATCCAAAATTGTTGGCGAATCAATGACATTAGAGCCTTGGGTCCAGCGTGGTAGTTACTGATGTGCAGATGACGTACGTAACAGTAGACGAAATGGCATTTGCTGGGCAAGATTATGGGGTGTTTTTGGCCTTCAGAAATTGCCGCGTACTCCAAGCGTCCGCCGACCTTGAGCAAGTTGAAACCATTTGACGAATCTAGGAAGGGGTTCAGACACTTTAGAGCACCTTGGGGATCTTTCTTCTTTAGAGCTCGAGTTATGTCATCTTGAAAATGTAGTTTCTGGATGTTGAAAACGATACAAAGTTTAGCATTTTCTAATTCTTGGGGCTGCAAAGAGTCAGAATTGGAAATATTAGTTTTTGTTTTTTGAGCAAAACGAAACATCCAGGCAATAATACGAATGATTTTTAAGTACGAGCTATATTTTCCAACAGAATCGAGGATGTAGTTAGATTTTGTTTCAAGATGAAGTACGGTTTTCCGTTTTTCTTTGTCGAATACTTGCTGATTTTCTTCGGAGAGTTTATCAGTTTTAGTAGGGGGCCACTGAACAGGATCGAGAGCGAGAAATGCTGGTCCGTTGAACCAGATGGATGAGGCGAGTTCCTGCACAGTTGAACCACGAGAAACGATGTCAGCAGGGTTGAACTGGGTTGGGACATGTCGCCAAACGCAGCCATTAGTTAGATCTTGAATTTCTGATACCCTATTGCCAACAAAAACTGACAAAGTAGATGAATGTTGCTTTAGCCAGTGAAGAACTAGTTGTGAATCTGTCCATAGAACGACTTCCAGATTTGGTATTGCGAAAAGATTTTTGATTTTGGAATACAATTTTGCTAGAAGTTGTGCGCCACATAACTCAAGTTTGGGTAACGATTTTCGCTTTGTAGGAGCAACTCTAGATTTGGCAGTAAAGAGCCGAACAACAACATTTCCTGAAGAAGTTTTAACACGAAAGTAAAAACAACAACCATAAGCACGAATTGATGAGTCACAAAAGCCATGAAGTTGAACTGATTTAGAATCAGGAGCGAGACAAAAACGAGGAATTTTAAGTGAAGGTAATAGTTTGAGATCAGAGACGAAAGATTTCCAAGCCGAGTGTATTTCTTGAGGTACAGACTCATCCCAGCCAATTTTTAGAATCCACAACTCTTGCATGAGGATTTTAGCTTTTATTATGAGAGGGGATAAAAGTCCTAGGGGATCGAAAAGCGCTGACGAGAGCGACAAAATTGTACGTTTGGTTATTTTTTCATCAATTTGGACTTTAGGCGAAAACAAAAATAAGAAAACATCTTTTTGTTGGTCCCAAGAGATACCAAGAGCGCTAGTTACTGCAGAATCTTCAATATTAAGGTCTTTGACAGTTTTGTCGTCCTGAAAATCTCTATGATTAGAGTGCCACTTATCTAATTGAAACGAACCACGAATTAGAATTTCATTAACCTCCTGCTTCATACGAGACAATTCTTCAAGCGTATCTGAGCCACAAAGAAAATCATCAACGTAAAATGATGACTTAATGGTTTTTGCACCAAGTTCGAATTGGTCCATGTATTGGTCTGCGAGATAGTGAAGGCTTTTGATGGCAAGGTAGGGCGCAGCTGACATTCCATAGGTGACTGTATTTAGGTGATATGTTCGAATTTCTTCCTCTTCTGAATTTCTCCACAAAATATATTGGAATTTTCTATCTTGGGAGTCAATAAGGACTTGTCGATACATTTTTACTATATCGGCAGTAAGAGCGAAGCGATGAAGACGGAACCGAAGTAAAATTTTATACAGCTCATCTTGAATTGTTGGGCCAACCATAAGAAGATCATTGAGAGACTTCTGGGACGATGATGGACACGAGGCATCGAAAACAACTCTTAACTTTGTGGAAGTGCTATTTGGTTTGAAAACGCAATGGTGAGGGATGAAATAATGAGGCTCGTGTAGACGAGGGCTACGAACTAGACTCATATGTCCAAAATCTTCATACTCCTTCATAAAAGCAACATATTGTGATTTAAGATTGCTGTCACGAGCAAATCGTCTCTCTTGAGATACAAATCTTTTAAGAGCCATATTTCGAGAAAGACCTAAAGCGTCAGGAGATTCCTTGAAGGGCAATTTAACAACAATCCTACCAGAAGATTCACGATGAACAGTATCATTGAAAAATGTTTCACATTCAGATTGTTCTGGTGTCAAATCATTTGAGCCAGATTGAACTTCATCGATTTCCCACAAGCGCTGTAATTTAAGATCAATATCTTCTTCTATCGAGAGCATACAAGAAGAGCCACAAATATTGGGTTGTTTTGATACATAACGACCTGCTACAATCCATCCGAAAAGTGTTTTGTGTAATTTAGGCAAATTAGGGCCAAGTTTTATTTGACCAACTGCTAAAATGTCGAAAAACGTTTCAGTACCAATAAGTAAATCAATTCGTTTTGATTTGAAGAAGTTTTCATCCGCAAGTTCAGTATTTGGGGGCAAATTCCAGGATGAGACATCTAATTCATTATCAGGTTGATATGAAATATGAGGTGTGACACAAAATGAGAGCGAAACTTCAAAATCTGTGACTCGAGATTTTACATTTGTGGACGACCTATATTTAGATTTGCTAAGAGTGTTACCAATGCTAGAGACTTCAGTAGTTTGTTTTGTACGAGACAAATGTAATTTTTGGGAAAATTCATCGGTTATGAAATTCAATTGAGAGCAAGAATCTAACAAAGCGCGTCCCAATTGATAGCGACCAGTGGAGTCACGAACTAGAACCATGGCAGTAGCAAGCAGCACCTGTTCCGGCGAGGATTTTTCCATATGGGTATGGACCGAGGCAGAAGATTCATTCAAGGCAACATGAGAAGTAGTAGGTTCAGCAGCAGGGGACGAGGGCCGAGAAGCTGGCTGAGACCGATGAAGCAAACTATGATGCGAGCGAGAACAAAATTTGCACTTGAATGTGGAGGAACAACTACTTACTTGATGCCCTTTGGACAAACAATTTAGACAAAGGCTTAGACGTTTTGCATTTTCATACCTTTGACTAACATCCATATCTTTGAACCGAGAACAACGACTAATTGAGTGGTCAGATTTGGAGCAAAGCACACAAGAGCGTTTTGATACCGAAAAAGTATAGCCAGGTTTTGAATTTTTAGATTTGGACTTACCAGATTGATGATCAGGCTTACGAGGGGCCACAAAAGTATGGTTGGTATCAACCGATTCCAAAAATTGACAACGCCTTTCAAGGACCTTGGAGCAATCATCCCATGTTGGCAATCTGGTAAAGTCCAAGGAATCTTTCCACTTTCTTCTGGTATCTTCATCCACTTTTTCCATCACTATGTAAATCAGCATGGAATTAGCAATATCACTATGTGAGCCAAGAGACAGTAAAGAACTATAAAGGGCAGAAACATTATCGACGAGACTTCGTAATTGGGCACAATTGTATTTGGACATGGCAGGAAGTTCAAAAAGGGCGGTAATATTTTCCATAAAAATAAGCGAGCTATTATCATAACGCGTTTTGAGCCTTTCCAGAGCCTTCGGGTAATTTTCGTTCGTAATCTGGAAAGCCTTGACCGTTTCTAGAGCTTGGCCTTGGAGGCAGTTGAGCAAATGATTAAACTTTTCAATATTTGATAGGCCAAACTCACGATCGATAACTTGATTGAACGACGTAATAAAATTCTTGTATTCACTGTACTTACCACTAAATGTGGGCAATTTGAGTTGGGGCAATTTATGGATGGGAGCTGGGAAACAAATGGTGGACTCGGACAACGTTGTGTTATGAACATCTTCACCAAGCTGCGACTGGATATTCATTTTGGCTGAGATGTACAAATCTTCAATTTCGGGCCTAGCATTATCCTCGGGATCATATTTTTCAATTTGTGTTTGATACGTCAATATCTGTTTAAAATATGACTCCAGTATCCCCAAACGGCACTTCAACTCAGCAGACGAAAGTGTCTTACCTTCACCCCTTCCATTGGCTTCGATTTGGTTCTTGATGCGGGTAATACTCTTCTTCGTATTAGCCCGTTGCTGCTTAACCTCTTCCAAAGTCATCATAAATTTCCAAAAGTTTGGTTAAGTGAGCCAAAAATTTCCAAAAACAAATTTCAAAATGGATGATACTATGTATTGTAGAGCACCGACGCCAAAAGTTTTACGCCAAAAATTTTTATATACAAACTTTATGTATTTATTCACTTTCTATATAAATATGTACCGCAATATTCCGAGCGACAAATTTAGTATACACAAAATTCTATATTATGTACTGGAACCAAAAGCGAACAAATTTATGTATTTTCTTGTATATAAAGATTAGCGGTAAATTTATTTAACCCGAATTACGAGCGAACAAAGTTTATTTATTTTTGTACATAAAAATTTGCGGTAAAATTTTAGAGTCACTTTTATTTATTTTATTTTTCGACAAAAACTGATTCTATTTAGCGAGCCGACAAAATTTGTATAATGTTTGTAATAGGTATTTAAAAAAATAGATTTGTAGTAGGTACGTCACTACAAATTTGTTTAACAGTTTTTTTTTGTTATATGTTGCACTGTCTAGTTTTTTTAAATGATTTATAAATTTTTTTTTGTTGCACAGGTTTTTTTTTTATTGAACCACAAAGTTTTTTATTTTTCTTTTTGTAGCACTAGATATTGCCCTTGTAATAGAACCACTGTTTCCACTTCACAATATGACCGTACACTTTTTCTTTAAGTTGTACTACAACGAAAAGTTTTTAGAATATACCACGGACCGAGAACGACAAATTTAGGAAGATTTAGATTAATCACTTGCCCCACGTTGGGCGCCAAAAATGTACGATGAAGAGCTTTTTCTTCACCGGCAACGATATAGAGCAATTCGGTCTACTTTGAATTGTTGTCTATAGGTTGCTGAAATGTTCGATGGGCAGTGATTAATTAACAAACACAAAAGAACTACCGTGGTACCGAGACAAGAATAAAAGATGATGTTGTTCGATTGAATTCAACTATGACAATGATTTATTTATTTAAAAATTCTTTTCTTAAGCCTAACAATTGATCATGTAAATAAGGGCTACACTGTTGTTATTGTAATATTATTTGTTTCTCACTTCCAATGTACCAACTCAACTTGTTTATTTATATTCAAAATATGCAAAAACAAAATACATGCAATAAGTCTCCAAAATAAGAAATTGCATTTTTAAGAGCAACAACAATATGCTTATAATAAGAATTGGAGTGAGAAACAAATAATAAAAACTAACGGGTCATTACCAAAAATATGTACAGTGGTTAGTATGAACAAAAAATAATGACAAATTACAGTGGCAACAGTGAGCCAAAAATATGAATAAATTTAAATACAATAAAAAATGGAAAATTTAAACAAAACAAAATAATAATGTTAGTAATTATTATACGGTGACCTAACAGAATAGATTTCTAATTGAATTTTGGTAGACCCTCTATGGAGACTAAGAGCAGTTAGTAAGCGTGTGAAAAGTGAGACCTTTGACAACAAAGGGTTATTATGACTAAATTTCCAACCCGATGGAACTACCCTTACTAACCCCATCGGTGTAAAATTTTACTTTAATTTCTACAGTTAGTCAAATATATCAATTGTTTTAATAAATCGAATCACAACCTGAATAAATAGGAAAAACTAAATATATATGGGGGAATTCATGTCAAGTGACCCCAGTTTTAAAACGCCAACACTAGTCCTATTGAATAGTAGTTTAGACACAAGATCGGTAAAGAACTCTCTAGGGTACAGAGGTTCAAAGTCTGACATTTTTGCTAAAATGGGCCCTTTTTTACTTTTTTCCTTTAAGAACTTTTTGTTCTCTTAGTGGGATGAGAATGGGATATATATCAAAATAAATGTTCTGTAACTAAGAAATATTTCAGTTCATCCCGATCGGAAGACATCGGTTTCAAAAGTTAAAACACTTGACATGAAATCCTCCATGTCTATATACATATATAGAATATGTACTTACTTATCAAAATAAAATCAAATATGTTTTTATAAAAGTGCCAAAATAATAACAATAACTTTTGAATTGTAGCCACAACAAAAAACACGCACAACTTCACATTATGTCACATGTCCCTTAAAAATTCTACGCACTTTCCTGTCGTCAACAATATTTGTGAATTACTGCCTAAAATTGCCACTGGAAATGGTCAATAACAAAAGCTAAAAAAAACACAAAATGGTCAACTACTAGTTATAGTAAGTAATGCTTACTTACGGTTATCCAAATATACTAAATATATAAATAAATATACCCAAATAACTATAATTGAGAGTGAGTCTGAAAAGAAAAAAACATTCATGCTCTAATAACTCTTGGTAGATGTGAACCAACATTTATATATTTTATTTTTTTGTTACTTTATTTATTTTTATATTCATTCATGAATGACGCCAAAAGTTATAAAAGTTATTTGTTGTCGTTGTTATTTTCTATACGTAATTTTAACATTTCGGGCATAAACTCAAAAAAGAATGGATTTTTTAATGAAATTAAAAAATGGATTTGATTAAAATATAAATTAAAGTTTAGTGAATTTATACAGGGGATTTTTTAATAGAAACATCTACTAGATGTTTAGATATTTCAACAAACTATTTAAGTATTAATCTTATTTTATTTTAGTTTGCTTCCATCTTTATTTTATCTGTATAGTTTTAACAGACAACAGACGTTTTGTTAAATTCTAACGTTTGTAAAATTTTTTAATTTTAAATCAAAAACGCCTCTTCTTAAATCTGTCCAAACATTTTATCTTATAATCAAAAACAATTTTTATTTATAATTTTTGAAAATATTTATCTGTTTTTCTAGTAAATTTTATAATAATTTAAAGTAATGTAAATAAATTAATATTACTCATACGTCAAAGTGTCCTTCGTATATTTAGTAAAAAAAAAATGAGGACAAAAAAATCTCTAAAGAAATATAAAACCAAAATCTTTTGCAGCTACAATGTTAAATAAAAATAACAAATAATATTAAATAATTACCAAGGAATATGTTAAGTTGACACTTTTGAACAAGTGTTTGTGACAGCTATAAAACAAATAAATAAATGTAAGCAAACAAAGAATTTAATATACAACTACATACACATATTTATGTGCAATATTAAGGTGTTTAAAAAAAAGATATATGAAATGAAAAATCATGGGAATTTTGCTCATATTTACGTTATATATTGGCCGATTTTGTTGTATTTTAATAGGAAACTTCTGGAAAGGGGCCATTCAAGAAACATACGGACAGACTAAAATATTCATGGCTAAATAGAAATGTACATGCATAAATGCACTTTATTTAGAACAGGTGAAGAATTTCTAATTCTTTCATTAAAGTCTCACTATTTTGTGCTTCTGTATATGACCTCAAATTAAATATTGCTTTGCTTTTGTAGAAACAAATAAATACAATTTAAAAAACTTTAAAGAGGAATATATTGTTTTAAAATTAAACAATATTAAAGCGTTTGTATCAATAATATTTTCTTCTGAACCCGTCTAATAGATGGATTTATTTTAATAAAGAAAAAAGAAGAAAATTTTTGAGAAAAAAAATAAATAAACAGAAAATATTTAACTAGAGGCTAAGCGTAAATTTGTTTAAAGTTAAACAGTGGTAATGGATGAATGATTAATGCAAATGTCAATAATAACATTGTAAGAAATTTGAGTCGAATGGTCCTAAGAAACTAATTCAATTAGATCAGAGATTTGTTAAAAGAGGCTAGTTCCAGTTTCCTTCGAAGATTAGCAGAAAAATATCTTAAATTTTAAAGGAAAAAGCCTATATGTTATCATTCTTTTGCTAACAGTAGTCAGGGATGGAAAATTGTGTATGTAATAAAAAGTAATATTCGACCATGCCGAATCTTATATACTCACCATCAAATCATTGCCGAAAAGAATGGCTTCCTTATAATTAAACTTTGAATTTATGAATCGATGCTTTTGTTATTATCGAAAGAAGTTAAGAAGAAATTAATTTTCTGAATAGGGTGGTGTCTATTATTGAACGATCCTTAGAAAATATAGCAGAAACATTTTGGTTCTTACAAAACTTGTATATGTTAAATTTCTTCGTTGTACTCGTATTTTTAAGCATTTTCTGAAGGGTCAAATATAGACCGATCCTCATAAAAGTTGGTAGAGAGATTTTGGCCGATATAAAACTTGTTTATGTCGAATTTCATCGCTGTATTCTTATTTCTGAGCCAGTACTAAGCGTTAAAGTAATTTTCTGAAGGGGACCTAATATGGGGAGTAAGGTCAATTATGAACGGATTCTCATAGAAGTTAGTAGAAAGATTTTGGCTCATACAAAACTTGTGTATGCCGAATATCATCGCTTTAGTCTCATTTCTGAGCCAGTAATAAGTGTTAGAGTAAATTTCTGAAGGGGACCTTATATGGGGGATAGGGTCAATAATGGACCAATCTTTAAAAAAGTTAGTAGAGAGATTTTAACTCATACAAAACTTGTTTATATTGAATTTCATCGGTGTACTCGCATTTCTGAGCCAGTAATGAACATTGAAGACATTTTCTGAAGGGGACCTTATATGGGAGATAGGGTCAATTATGGACCGATCCTCATACAATTTGGTTAAGAGATTTACGTTCACGTAAGACTTATTTATGTAAAATTTCATCGTTATACTGTTATTTTTAAACCAGTTATGTTAAACCAGTACTGTTAGAACTGTTTTCCGAGGGGCCACTTGTATGTTGGCTATGCGAAAACGTGAACCGATTTTATCTATTTTCAATACCGAACAAACCTTATCAATAGAGAATATTTAAGCAGAATTTCAGCTATCTAGTTCCTCCAGTGTGGTCCCTATCGTGATTTCAACAGACAGGCGGACATGGCAAGATCGCCTCAGAATATAATAAGGACCCAGAATATATATACTTTTATGGGTCTTGGCGAATATTTCGATCTTTTTGTTTGGTGGGTATAAAAAAAGTAAAAAAAAAAAATTATTTGGAAAAACTTTAAAAATTTTAATAG